AAGGGACTTTAGATTAAAGTGACTCATGAGATTCATGAGTTATGATAAGTTCTTATACTACGCAAAAGCAAACGTAGATAAAAGACTTTGAAAGGGAGTGAGTGATTTCGACTCCTAGGTGTTGGGTAGTCTGTTGATGATAATAATTTTAGACAGTAGGGCTCCAGATTGTTAAAAGCTATAACTCACAAGTCCGGGATTTCAGCACTTTCTATTAACATTTGATTAAGACATTTATTGAAGTGTATAACTAAACAGAAGCATTTACTGTTTGAGGTTATTTAATTGTTTCTCATTCGATTCAAAGCAATTCTTCTACAGGTTTGATAATAGCAAGATTTGTACCTCACCTGAAACTAATCAAACCTCAGTATTTCTCGCCTGTAGACTGAAAACAGGGAATTAGCTTAGGTTACTTTCGAAGTTTGAGGCAACTCATTGGTTTAGTGATGGAACATTTTATTATGTTTACTCTTGTGATAGCTGCCAAAAGCTTCTTGGTCAAAAGCTCCCCATTTCAGTACCATTTAGCAACTGAAAAGTGGTCGCTAATAATTCGTCGTCATTTTTCTTTTCGCTCCAACTTTCACGCCTAGCTCCTGTTCTCATTTTTCTTACACGGTCGGAGAATTTGAACCCGGCGATTTCCTGGAACTCCGACTGATCAGCAAAGACATAAACAGCTTATTGCAGGGTAAGTTTCTCTAAGCCTTATCCTGAATTCCTTACAAATTTTCGGATTTAAAGTTCAACTCATGCAAACATTGTATTTTGCAGTTTGCGCTACACTCACTGAGCCTGCATCACCTGTGACTAGCCTCACTGTCAAGAAAGTAGTTGCCCGGCATTTCGCCCTAGTCCAGTGTCCCCCGTTATAAACGATTTATTTTCCCTTAAAAAAAATTTGCTTCTATAGCTCGCTATCTCTCTTTTACTCCGATTCCTGCCATTGTTATTGCCATTGTTATTGAAACTGAAAAGAGTTGGACAAGATTCGACCACAGTTGAAAGGGACGGAATAAAATCCATTCTCAGCACTGGAAGTTTTGGTAAGTACACTGGTAAGCTGGCTTATACACAGAACAGTTTTCTAGTTCCCTGACTGGTAAGTGGGGCTGGACTTTTTTGAAAATTCCTCGTTGTGTGCTTCGTTGATAATTTTATTCATTCAACTCGTTAATTTTTTCTAATTAAAAGTATACTAAGGGGGTAATTCGTCTTCAGCTTTTAGTCTTGCCAGGGTCCCCAACAGCCGGTCTTTTCAGCAGCCTTCCGCGCCTGAGGATCCGACGGCTTGTTGATTGGTGGGACTGTGCTGTTGATATAATACTGCATTCTCTCTTTGAGTTTGCTAACTACATCCGGGTACTTGTTACTGAGGTCATTGCGTTCGTACGGATCAGCGGTTAAATTGTAAAGAGCTACTTCAATCCTTTCTGAATTTTGATCCAGTTCCTGAATGGAATAATAGTAATAATAATAATAATAATAATAATAATAATAATAATAATAATGATAATGATAATGATAATGGTAATAGTAATAAAGGAGTGAACAGAACAGTAAGATAATGGTATTCGAAGAACTCCAGTGTCTCTTAATTATCCTCAGAAAATATACTTTGTCGTTTTGGTTCTTAGCACAACGAATCAATCAATGAGATAATTTACCATTGGCACAACAAAACTATGTATTGACTTCTGGAGACTAATTATTGTGGTTTCATAATTATTTAAAGCACCCAGCTCGTTTTAATATTGCGTCCTTTTTATCTTGTTTACTGTTTTTGTCCTCAAGGAAACTTAAAGAACAATTTCGTTTTCACAAAGTTTAAAAAGAGAGATGATTTTATAAAGCAGACAGATTTCTTTGTTAATTGTTTGTGTTCCTTTTCCTACCGCGCATAACGTTGAATGTCTTGAACAGTATTCCTATCAATTTTTTATTTTTGAAGTAACTGAGCCCTTGTTCAGACCTCTTAGGGGAGCGCCATCGGTAAGAAAATTTCTTAAACTAAGCATCCAAGAAATTTTGGTTCTGAGAGAATCGTCCGTACGTACGTCCACCCCTTTATGTAAGCAGGAGTAAAATTTTGCATTTCAAGTACCCGCGCGTTTCGGCAGTAAATCGCATACCCACCCGGACTTTTAGAGATAAAAAGCAACAACAACGACGCCAATTCTTTCTTTCGACTTAATTTTATAAAGTCTGCATTGGCGTGGATAACAGAGAAAGAGCTAGAGCCAGAGATAAAAAAACAAAGGAGACCAATTTTGTTTGAAGAATAACATGAAAATTTTATAGCGGCTGTGAAAAAATGAGAAATACTAGCGGCTACCAAGGTAAAAATGAGCGGAAGCGTAAAAAAAAGTGAACAGAACCACACACAACATTAACTAGGAAGTTTCTGGAAGTTTTACGTTATCATCGTGCAAAACAACGGCAAAGAAATGTACAAAAAAAGTGTGCTGCACGTCCAAAGATGTTTTTTTTTGCTAATTTTTTTTTTTTGCTGTTTTCGTTGTCGTCGCCGCTTGGTTAGCATTACACGAGTTTATATTTTGCTTTAGTAAACTATAGATATTAACGAGAGCTTCGCTTTTAGCCCAGCTGAACCTATATATTACTTCACACGAGTCGGATCAATTCCAAAAAAGGGCCTGTTTACATAAAGGTGGGGGACCCTAGGTAGGTGGGGTAACCGCTGCCTGTCCATATACTCTCTCATTTTATCTTGATCACATTTACATGGTAGGTGGGGTGACCATATGAGAGATTATATGGATAGGAGGGTTACCCCAACTAAGCGGGTTACCTCACCTACCTGGGGCCCTTATTCAGTCACAACGTGTTGGCCAAAGACAAGAAATTGTACAGTCACTGTCAGTGTGCTAATCAAATCAGCGGCGACACCATTGCTTTCATCCTTGATTTTCATCACCTTTCATGACCAGTCTGCTCTAGTAACTATGGTTTTAGAATCGATGATCTTCAGAAGAAATCACATAAAAAAGGGTGAAAGAAAAATAACTTACCAAAAATAAGTTTCCACTGAAATCTTCTTTACTTGACTGGACGCCATTATTTTGCTGGTATAGCCTCGCATCCAACTCTGGCGGCTTAAACCACGTGACGTTGGGGACATTGAGCAATAACTTCATTTGACCCACACGTAGCGCAGCTCCTTGGCTAGTGTCTATATTAATAACTACTTCGTTACGCGGCGATGGTTTTCCAGAGGAGATTGTTTCCCATATGTCATAACCGTCAACTGGCTTTGGATATTTTCGGTCAAAACTGCCTCCTATAATAGCAAACAGGTTGTAGCTTATACATAGCTGCTTACTATAAATTAGCACGAAAATGAACAAAAGATTACCTTTACCTTAAATCCTTAGTGTACCAAACCTTAGAAGACGCAATGAGATCACGCCTTTATCTTTGAACTAAATTTCTGGAGGAAATCGTGATCAGTTGATAACCCCATAACGGGTTGTTGGCCACTATTTTCTCCACAACCGTTTGCTTTCGTATATGGAAGAACGTGGCAAGAGATGGCCCACATCGGGATGATTAAGTGAGGGGAGTGCACACGCGCGCGCGCAAGCGTCGAGCGTCGAGCGGTGAAGCTGCGAGACGCGAGAAACGAGGGCAGCCGCCTCTCCAGTCTCGCGCCTTCAGTCAAGCGCGTTGTCATTATCGTTTCTCGAGCGGTTTGCTTGACGGAGGAAACAAAAGACAGACAGCTCGTAGTATAAGAAACGGTTGAATTCACTGCATATATGTTTGTATATTGTTTTTATCGTGTGAACAATTTCAAAATCAACCTTTTCATATATCAAGTACTAGCGAGGTCAATATGGACTTAATTCTCACCTGCTAGATTGATTAACGTTGGATACCAGTCCGTCACATGCAGCAATTCTCTGTTTTTCACGCTTTTTTGTTGCAGTAATTTTCCATAGACAAATGCAGCCCCTCGGGCCCCTCCCTCCCACACGGTATGCTTTGTACCACGGAGGGGCCAATTGAAACCTCCTGAGCTTGGTAACCCGCCGTTATCAGTACTGAATATAACAAGTGTGTCATCCCATAACCTATAAGACGCAAGATTCTCTTTAGTTGAAAAATATTGTTAAGTCATTTAGGTGTTTAAAACTGCTTTTCGGTACAAAACCTTTAGAAAATGTCTTAAATGTTTCAAAGCTGTAAGTTTGCATAATTTTGCTCAAGGAAATCTGAACATAACTGACTGCAAGTATTTTAAACAGACCATCAAGGCAGATGGAGGGAAGTGGGTAGGACCTCGAGTCCTATACCTCCCGTACCTCACGGCTCCAGTACAAAGCATCTTCTGCTCTCGCCCACTTTTTTCTTGGCTTCCTCCCTTTAGCACTTTTTAGACTGCAAAATATTAAGTATTGCTGCGTAGTTTCCCTTTATTTCTCCCGCTTCCTGCCCTTTAAGAACTCTTATCCCCGGCTGTTTTCTTCCCCGCCTCCCGTACATCTCCCTCCTCGTATTTTCCCGGGCTCCCACCCCCTTTCTTATCCCATCATCAGTGAACCAAGTTATGATCCAATTGCAGGGAAGCCCCTACCACATTTTAAAGAACCTTTTAATTATGTAATCAGTGTAATGCCTTGAACTTGACAATGAACGCCTTAACATACCCTGCTGTCTTGAAAGCCTCGGTGATATTACCTACAGCCTCATCCAGGATGTCTACCATGCCAGCATAAGTTCTTCTGACATCATTCTTGATAAATTTATATTTATCAATGTATTGTTGAGGCGCTTGAACAGGATCATGAACGTTCTGAAAGGCCATGTATAAGAACAAAGGCTGAGCTGGATCGTGTGATTTAACAATTGTCTCCATCCTCTGTAAAGAAAGTGAATAGTACGTCAGCCTTCAACATCCAAACTAGAACTTGGAGGGTCTTGAGTTCGATGTTCACCTGGAGCTCGGACTCAGTTTTTCCTGGGCTTTCTGGTAT